TCCACCCCCAAGCATCTCTGCACCTCGACGAGGAGGACGCGTGGCGCATAGCGAGGAAGCGGGCGGGCCGGTGACGATGTCGAGGAGGCCCCGGGGCAGAGGAGGAGGTCCAGGCCGCCGTCATTGTGCCGGAGCGACGCCAGGAAGAAGAAGAGGAGCAAGAGGTCCAGGCTCTCCGCCGCGCTGCGGGACCTCAAGCTGGCGGCCAAGGCGAGGGACAAGGAGGGGCAGCAGTCTTGTTGGCCGGCTGGCTGTAGAGCCCGCCGCCGCCGTCCTCCATGATCTGGAAAGCGAGCGTGACGACGAGCTCCCCACCCTTGGCCTTGCCGGCGAGCAGGAACGCCATCTGCCACTGCCGGGCGCACTCCCCTTGCTGGCTCTTCTCCGTGGACTCCTTCACGAGGGCGCTCAAGTCCACCGTGCTCTGGCCAAGGTCCAGCTCCGACGTGTCCACGGCGACCACGGACAGCAGGAACGGGCGGGGCTCGAACTTCGCCGGCGGCTTGCCGGCGCCCCCGCCGCTGCAGTAGGCGTAGCCCATCCATGGACGACGGGAGGCCCTGCGCCGCCGCCACCTCGACGGAGAAGAGGCAGCCGAGGCGAGTCATGCCGATGTGCGACAGCGCGCGCATGGTAGCACTCGGGACGGCGTGAGCTATGCACCTGCGCGGCCTGGTTGTGCGGCCGACTGCGACGGGAGACCGGGGCAGAGGAGGAGGTCCAGGCTGCAGCGGCGCCCCGGGCCTCGCCCTTCTCGGCTGCAGCGGCGCCCGCCGCCACCGCCGGCTGATCCGCGGGGGAGGCGGAGCTAGAGAACGCGGGGCGGAGGCTTGGAGATGCAGGGGGCTTGGAGAGGCGGGAGAGAGCGGGGCCGGACGCGGAGGCGAGGCGGGGCCGCCATGGCGTGCGGGGGAGGCCGGGGCAGAGGAGGAGTAGGAGGCAGCGGTGGAAGGTGGGCGACGGGGTGGGGTAGGTGGAAAGAGAGGAGAGAGAGGGGTTTGCACGTGAAAAGGTAGCGTTGGCGCCCCCAGCTCGCCCCCAGCGCGTTGGGTTTCTCATGGGAGCACCGGCCGAAACTTTCCTCAAATCCGGCGAAAATGGTGGTGTTGGGTGCATGGCTGGGGCGAGATTTTACCACCGGCGCAAAAAAAGTGGTCCTGGGGGGCTTTTGGGGGGCCTAGTGGAGATGCTCTAAGTATTGGGAACACGGACCGGTGATGTGCAAATGACACACTAAAGCAGCAAAAAGCATGAAAAAAACACCTTTTCAAGTGCTTAAGCATCCAGGCACTTAAACGCAATCGCTTAGATGAAAGACCTTAGGCGCAGCTTTTTAAACACTAAACTACTAAGGTAACTTTGACATAACATCTGCTATCAAGAAACTAATAAGACTAGTGCAGTCACTAGTATCATCTGGAACAACAGTCTTCAAAAGATCCCACTATTTCAACCTATGTTTATGTTAGGGGTAATAGCAGTCCGTTTACATGAAAAGTGCTAGAAACGCACAATTTCATAAAAGCGCATAAGGAGTGAACTTTGAATTAACAATTACACCAGCAAGCAGAATTGCTACCACATCCAAAATGTTTAAGCAGAAACCACCAATACTTAACAAGCCGTAGAGAGAAGCAAGCGCTCCAGCTCCACCTAACACCCACGCGCTGCCTTTTCTAGGCGTTTTGCAGAGAAGAGAGCAAAGTGTATATACTCATCATTATAAACTGTAAATGTTTTAATTTGACAAGGATGAATGTTTTGATCAACGATATATTTACTAAATAGAGTTTCCATACATGTCACTTTAATTTTCCTCCTCTATCACTACCAACTGTTCCTGTTGTCATGCAGGAGACAGTAGCATGCAAGAATCACTAATCCGCTAAGGTAACAGTCAGTCCTATCGTCAGAAACAAGACCCTTCAAAAGAAGAGCTACCCCTCCAGTCACAGATAATCAAGAATATCTATCTTATGATGGGTTCCCAAATAAAACAGTCACCAGATACTGACATAGACCGCAGTGAGTAGCATTGGTGATGGTATATCAGCCTGGGAGCATGACAACACACACCTGGTGGTGATGCGCACGGGTCTTGCCGGGAGTTGAGACGGAGGATGAGTGGTTCGCGGTTGCTGTACGCCTCCCGCAGCGCCGCCCTTTTCTTCTTCGCCACCTCCGCGACAAAAGCGCGGCTGAACAACCCAGATAGATTCAATTTCGCTCGGTTAGTTAGAATCAATTCAATTCAATTCCCCAAGATAGACATACGGGCAAGCGAACGAACAAGAGAGAGGGCGCGCTCACATCTCGGAGGGGACACCGTTGGTGACCTTGGCTGCCCTAAGTTCCTTCAGCTCCGCCTTCAATTCCTTAAGCTGCGCCCTAAGTTCCGCCGACCTGACCGGGTCTGCCGCACAACAACGGAGGCGTCAGATCCACAAGAAACTAGTAAGGACGGACGCAATGATGCTTACCCATGGCGACGGTAGCGGTTGCAGCGTCAGGGGCAAAGCGGAGGTGGAGGCTGTGCGCCAAGGCAACTTTTTTTTTTAGACAACGTGCGCGAGGGCAACTTTTTTACTGACTGCCGGCGGCGGGGAGGCTTATATGAGGCGCAGTGTGGGCTAAATGGGCCAGCTGGGCTGAAAGTGAAATCCTACCGTGTGGAGCTGCTGGAGACCAGCCTAGGACAAAGTCCAAGTTCTCAAAAAAAAAAGGGACAAAGTCCATATTACCACCCTCAACTTCTGTGAGAGTCAGTATTTCCTTCCTAAACTAGAGAACCGGATGCTTATGCCCCTCAAACTATTGAAACCGGTCGATTCACCTCCCTATGAGGTTTTCAAAGCGGTTTTGCTGACGTGGCGTCACGTCAACTGGCTTATATGACGGGGTGGGCATATAAACCGAGAACCGATCAACCGAACCGTATTAACCTGCACCGAAGCCGAACTGACCGACACCGAAATTCTCGGTACCATGCTCGGTTAGCGTTGGTGGAAAACCGAACTTTGTTCGGTGATTTCGGTAGTGGCCCTCTGTCCACCGAACTAACCGAGCACCCGAAGCCCCTCAACGCGATGAAACTGGTCACCGCCCCCCGCCTATGCCTCCTCCAAAATCAACGAAGCGCGGAAGGGATGCGTCCTTGCCGCCTCCCAAATCCCGTCTCCAAAAGTCGCGGCGTGGATGATACCTTCCTCTCCGAAGACCGCAAGTCCCGCTCGATCTGTTCCCTGCCGAAATCCCTATATATAATAGAGATTGCATCAGAGCTCTGAATCCTAGCCATAGGTGACGGCGCCGTCCGACGGAAATTGGTAGTGGAACTGCGGAAGAACAACGGCGGCTGGCTGCTGCAAGCACGGCAACCCAACTGCAGAATTCCTCACCCAACATGTGTACAGGGTACATGTTCAGTTCAATGGTGATTTGATTAGCATACTGTTCAGTTCAATGGTTACATGTGCTTTGATTAGTTTTCCTCTCTGAATCGTTGGTAATTGACATTTGCCTTGTATTCTAGATGTCTTCAACGACAGAGGAGACCATGGGGTCAAACGATGCAGCAGCAGGGTCCAATGCACGGAAAACTACTCTGAAGAAACACGCTGTTGGTTGCTTGTTCTTTCCAAGCCTGAACCTGTCTCTATCGCTCAAGTGCTGTTTGCCAGGCCTGCAAAAGAACCTTTTCCCGCCGACCAGCCCATTGGGCAGCGCTGCAGCGCCCCAGCCCATGGGCTTTCTTGGGTGTGTTCGGTCCCAACCGACACCGAACCGATTCTAACGGTGGACCGAAGACTCGGTTAGCCTAATTACCATTGACCGATCGGTGCTTGATTTCCTAGAACCGAAGATTCCCAGCGACCGAAGCACCGAACCGAACGGTTCGGTGTAACCGAACGCCCACCCCTGTCTTGACGCGACGTCAGCCATGTGCGAGGTAAATTGAACTTTCATAATAGTTCAAGGAGGTCCGCTGGACATTATAAAAAATATAGAAATATTTTCTTCAAAAAATCCAAATATTTTTTCTGAAATAAATGTACATTTTAAAATAGCAAATGATATTTAATGTTATAAAAATCATAGAAAGTTTCTTTTAAGTAAAAAATATCATAGTTATTCCTTTCTTCCTTTCGTGTTTTTTAGATAATGGAAAAATATTCTAGCTTCACACCTCTTAAAAGAGAGGCATCGGACTATTTTCCATGTCCAATCGCGGACAATTCGTCCAGTTGCTTCTCATGGGTTTTCATAATCGATACGGAAATTGATCAAATCGTTTGTTCCTTTAACCAAGAAAAAGTATTTCTATTTTCCATGTCCAATAGCAGATCCTGGAATTTCTACAATAGATTAAATAGGTAGCTAAGGTAATCTAGTTCCCTATACACGAGTCTATTATCATTCTACTGGAATGATGAATACCTTGAGCAGGCAGAACTAGAAAGAATAACACGTGTTTAGAATAACAGGAAAACTACAAACAAAAATATTGAAAATTAGCTCGTTGGAGCCTTTCCAAAATTATTGTAGACCCAACGAATTAGTAGTTCCCAACTGCGGGTGGAGTGAAATCCAACAAAAATCAGTAACTAAAAGAATAAAAAAAATCAGTAACTAAATAAAATACAAAGTCAAAAGAATTACCAAGTGACCTTAAATACAAATCTAGTAGTATTAGTCTTATGTCACCTAGCTACCATATTGTTGGACTAATCTAACAATTGATCCAAGCATGAGCTTGAACGTTTGAAATTTAGGACAGTATAACCGGACCTAAAGCAAGCCCTCTCAATGATTTGCATTTCTGATCGTCCGTTTTCACGATCCAGGTGTTTTTGCTCTGGAGGCCAAAACGCATGCCTGTGGTAAACTGGGTCGTCGGCCAGCCCATTATAGTTCGAGTCCATCATGATGGTAGGCCCACAGACGAGGAGCGGACTGTTGGATCCAGTCCGTGATGGATCTTGAGGCGCCGGACGACTGCACAGCAGCTTGGCGTCTTCTTCAGGAACCCAACTCTCTCAGTGCCAGAATACTGAAGGCGGTCTACTACCCCACGTCCTCGATTCTTGAAGCTGAGGCGGGAAAGAATCCGTCACAGGTTTGGCGTTCAATAGTTGAAGGGAGGGACACGCTTAAATTGGGGCTAGTAAAGCGGATTGGTTCTGGCGAGGACACAAACATCTTGTTTGACAATTGGATTCCACGAGACTTCAAGCTTCGACCAGTGTGCCCGAAATCTTCAAATCCTCCGCAAAAGGTTTCAGAGATCATCAATCGGATTACCTTGACATGGGACGGGGCTACTCTCGAGGAGCACTTCTATTCGATGGACAAGGAAGCAATTTTAAAAATTCCTCTAAGCTCTAGGGTCCAAGAGGATTTTTGGTCATGGCATTATGAACGGAAGGGCATTTTTACAGTGCAATCTGCGTACAAGCCGTTGTCCTCTACCAAGCAGCAACGAACAGATTGGCTGGAACATAACGAAGGTCACTCCAATGGAGAGACAGATCGCAGGTCACG